TGAGGAGAGACCTTATTTCTCTCTACAACTCCCTGGAAAGGCAGCTGCAGTGAGACGGGTGTTGGCCTCTCCTCCCTAGTGAATAGCGACAGGACAAGAGGGAACGGGTTCAAGTTGCGCCAGGGGAAGTTTAGATTGGATATTAGGAAAAACTTCTTCACAGAAAGGCTGGTGAAGCACTGGTATGGGTTCCTGAGGGAGGTGGTGGAGTCACCATCCCTGGACGTGTTTAAGAAACAGCTGGATGTGGCACTTCAGGAGATGGTTTAGTGTTAGGGTGTAGGGCTGTAGGTTGGACTTGATCTTAAGGTCCTTTCCAACCTTCATGTTTCTATGATTCTGTGTAGATAGTCCTTCGAGGGAATTATCATAGAATGAATGAATTCACTGGTATTTGTGCCAGTGGTGGTAAAGAACAATTCCAGTTAGTAACTCCTACTGTATCTGAAAAATATGCAATACTGTAAGAGTCATAGCCCTGAGTATAATTGACAACTACGTGTTAATTCCTCAAATTAGTAATTCAGTATGTTCTTTGTCACTGATAAAACACTGACAGTACCTTTAAAATCACTCTAAAATTATTTTAAAGATTTAATTTAAATTTTTACAAAAGGTAAAGTGGCTATACATAACTTCTGAATAAAAATGTAAGGCAAGTACCATTCTGAAACTTCAATTTAGTAAATGTCTTTACTTATGATAATAGAATCACCTATCTAGCATTTTTCCTGCTCCTGCACTGTGAATGGATCTTCTTGCTGTTGCTTCACCAGTGCCCCTGCAAATATGCCACAAATCACATCACATCCACTGCCATTCTTTAGCACCACCTTTCCTCCATGCCCAGGGATACCTTCCCTGCCCCTCAGCTGCAGAAGTTCACCCACTGATTGCACATAATCACAGAAGTACCTGAATTCTCTCTCAAAAAGAGAAAATTAAAAATGCTGGAGAGAATATACAGCTAAAACCAGGAAGGCTAATTACAACAAATTTCAGTTAGAAAGGAGGGGCAGTAAATGACAATGTTCTATGCATGCAGCATGAATCAGGGTGGGAACTGACTGATAAGACACAAAGCGAAACGATATAAAGAATATGAAATTATTCAAAGCCATCTTTGCTTTAACTCACAAGAAGACTCAAGATTAACAATGAGACAATGGTGTCAGCCATAAAAAAAGAACAAAACTGGCTATAAAACTGTAAATAAGGCAGATGTGTTCAAACTTGCAGATCCTAATGAAATTCATTACGTAACACTCAAGTAGCTAAACAAGGTAAGTCTCTGAACCATTAATGGTTACCTTAAGTATCAAAGATAAAGGAGATGTCAGGAGACTAGAAAAGGGAAAACAGAGTACTTACCCTAACAAAAACAACAAAAGCAGCTAGAGGAAAAGCCCAGGAGAAAGGGCCTTGAAACAAATGAGTAGTCAATTTGCATTCACTAAGACGGACAAAAAAATAAAAAAAGCCATAAAAAAAGCCGCCAATATAGGCTCATCAGTAATAGGTTCATCAATAATAGGCTGCAATAATCCAATCTAAACACTCTGATAAGAAGTCTACCACGTTGGGGTAGGAAGGGTTATATTTAACATTCAAATGACATTCTGCTAAGTCTGATGCTGAAGTACAGCCTGTATGGAATCACAGTCAAGTAGAAATCTAAAAAGTCTCAAACAAGATTATACTATGCATTGTCAAAGTAGAGCATTTCAATTCAGGTCTTTCATGGATCTGTCTTGAACCTCAGTTCAAGTCGGTATTTTCAGTGGTGACTTAGATGAGGGAAAATGCTTTTAAAAAATAAATGTGCTGATGAAGCCAAGATGGAATTTCTTGCAGTGGGAGAGGAGATGTGAACAGAATTCAACATGTTCCTGCTTTCAGACCACCTCTTCTGTAAGATGAAATGCAAAAACCACAAAAGCCCCCTACTCCTCTTGCTCGACCTCCACTGGACTCGCTCCACTGTGTCAATGTCTTTCCTATACCAGAGAGTTGAAAACTGGACACACCACTCCAAAGGCAGTCTCACAAGTGCCATAGGGAGGGAAAGAACCACCACTTCCCTCCACCTACTGGCCATCCTCCTCCTCCTAACGTAGCCCAAGATGCAGCTGGCTGCCTTTGGCAGAAGAGCACTGTCAAGAAGGTATAGGGCTGAGCTGGCCACCAAACGAATGACAGAAGCTCTGTAATCTCTCTTCCTCCCCAAAAGGGAAGGGAAAAGGGAATAAGGCAGAGAGACCTACAAATTGGAAAAGAATACATAAACTAGCTATAAGAAAACAGTAACAGTACTAATAAGGAAATGATGAAAATAATCAAATACTGCTACATGGAATAAATGGGTGGCATTAATTATACAGCAAGCTTGAATTGGTAATCACCAATGTATATGCACACCTTGTCAACACCAGTCTGGGAGCTAATGGAGAGACACCAGCTGTGAATGAAGTGGCTAACAAAGTATGACAATATGAAGACAGTCTTTCTCTTTTGTTGGTCAGGTTTGGGTCACCTATTCTGTCCATTACTCCCCAGAGGGGCAACTTCTTACTTCCATGCGAGCACCTTTTACTTCCCAGCAGCCCCCACATTGCACAGAAGATTTAGCAGTGACCTTGGTTACAGCAAAAGACAGGCATAAGCAAGAGCCTTTCTGCATACCAATCCCTGGTAGTTTCATAGATTCATAGAATGGCCTAGGCTGGAAGGGACCTTAGAGATCATTTTAATCCAGCCTCCCTGTCACCAGGGACGCCACCTCTCGAGTAGATCAGGCAACACATGGGGACCGAACGGGAATCGAACCCGTGTCCTTGGCGTTGTTAATGCCACGCTCAACTGACTGAGCTAACCGGCCCCCTCCGGTAGTAACTATAAACATCAGTTATCACTTCTAGTAGCAGATACTGTCTGCAAAAACACACTGTTAACTGAAAGGGCAGTCTCTTCTAAGAGAAGAGACTGAAAGTGCAGTGTCTTCTAAGAGACTGAGTTGAAAAGTAAAATCACTGAACAGAATTGGTTCCATTTAGCTCAAACCAGGACAGGCACTGATGACACACGTGCAATTCTCCTGTCCACAAGGACCTCAGGCCCTTTCGACAAAGCTGCCTCCTACCCAGCCAGCACTGCCCTGTGCTGTTGCTTGGGCTTATTCCATCTCGCATGCAGGAGCTGGGAGAGTCCGTTTCTCTAGCCTGATGCAGCTGCACTGAATAGTGTCCCTGTCTCCAGTATACTGACCACCCTTCCCCACTTGGCAGAAACTGCACTCCGTTTCATCACTGAGGTCATAAAGTACCTTGTAATTTCAACCTGTAGTTGACAATCCTGTATTCACTGATACACTGTACTCACTCATCAGAGATTTTGTGCAAGTATGTTTTATTTCCATTTGAGGTCTGCTTAAATCAAAGGACAGTAACCAAGGGGATTATCAAAAGAGAAACAGCATATTCCAAATCCATAGGTCAGCATCTCAGAGTACATAAAAACTATGAACAAGTGAAAACTAGAATCAACTTACTCATTCCTGAACATTCTCTGTCTCCATCCCACACATTAGAAACAGCATGTCCCGTCAACAGGAGGTTGATCAAACTTTGGCTATACAACAGAAAGAAATAGCCTATTAAAAGGGGCATACAATTTATTTCTGAAAATTGGTTATCTCTAACAACTGAAAAAATTATTCTATTACCTGGACAGCTAAGCAGACATTCTTGAACTACATTCCTTTAATTAATGTGTATTTGTAATTCAGCAACGTTAATAGAATCTCCACTCTTTCAACCAATAACTTAATATAAAAACGTAGCCCTGAATTCTAGACTTATTCCTCTGCAAATTCAGCAGTAACAGAATCATTTCCCCAGAACAGAAGCACTAACGAGTAAGCAGTGAAAAAGGCATGCTATGTTAAGTGTTGCTTTTAGTTATTATAAACTTATAATAGAATCACTGTTGTAATGTCAGTAATTTCCTAAAGAATAACGTTACAGAAATAGGAAAAGTTGGCTCACTAGTCTATTTTAAAGTGGTAGCAATCGTGTTTTGCAGTTTACCTTCCATGACCGTAAACAGGATCTATCAATGGCTCAGTTGCATCTTCAATTTCATTTTTTATGTTTTCAATACCCTGCAGAAAAAATACAAACATTTTTGCACTCTTAAGGAATGAATTGCAACATTTACAACAACAGAGTGTAACAGTAAAACATCAGAAGGCTGATGTTCTTGTATGAATTGATAGCTAAACACACTTTTTCTTGGTAAGAGATACAGAGACCTACAAGGAAGGATGTTTCCAAAATCTCTAATTCTCCTAGATCAGACCAAAATAAAGCAACAAGAAAACCCAATACCCAATCAACCAACAAAGTAATCACAAAAACTGGAGCTTTTCATTTTTTTTATGCTGGAAATGTGCTGCAACATGAAGATACCACTCCAGCCATTTATCTAGATTTGACCTGGTTTATCAGCTCACCTTTTACACAAGGGTTACATAATCAAAACTGCTCTTAACGAAGAAACAAAACACATGAACAAAAAAATCAAACAATCTACACACCTTTGTGAGTATTACAGAATACAGAAAGAGCAATACTCCAAATCTGTTTGTCCACACCGAATATTGATCCCAAACCGCATCCTTCAGTTCAGGGAAGCTTTTGAATACGTGTTTGCTAAAGACAAGAAAAACCCAACAGAAGAAGAGAATGTACTTAGATGAAGCATTTGAATAATGTCACAATGCACAAACAAGAACTACCAACACTTAACATGAGAAGTAAAAGCAGAATAAATTTGTCAGTACATCTGGTGTTACAGAAAGAACGACACAGCAGCTGTTCTAAAGTTACTATAAACTGCCATAAAGTCATTAGTATGAATGACTACCCATCAGAAGAAGATAAATAATTCTGGAGTAACATGCAAAAATGAACACAGTTTTTATACATGAACACTAGCCATAAAGTTGCATATGTGGAAGAGCTGAGTGGTTTGAACCAGTAATTCTATAAAATATTCTTACTGAAATGCAAATAGACTATAAGTCACTAAAACAATGTTTGCATTATATAGTGTCCTGAAAGACATTCAGTCCTTAAACAGTGGAGAAAAACCTTCCACTTAATGAGGTAAGACTATCTTTCAGACTTTCAAAGTAATTATCACATTTCCCAAAAGAATTCAATTTTGTTAGACTGTAGCTTTGGAAAAAGCAAAACGTTCAATACTACGAGTCCTACATTAACATTTGGGAAGCTAGCTGGTTGTGTAATAGGGTTTCTGCCTGGATGATAATACCAGGTGATCACAGATTTAGAAGAACGTAAAATAAAAACAGAGGAAAGGAAGAGATTCATCAAGATTCCAGTGAAGTAATATACTTCCAATTTCTTGGGATATTTAGAAGTAAATACTGCTTTTCAGAACAAAACCATTAGTTTTTATTGAGTAATTCAAATTAGATCACACTCTCTGCTCATCTTACACAAATTTAAGTATAATGTTTTGGGTTTGATCTCCTGCACACTGTTAGGAAGCCTCATTTAAAAAAGAAACAAACGTCTGCAAAAATACATCCATAGATGGGTTTACTCTGGCTAGCACTTGAGATCAGTCTTGTATATGAAACATTTATAAAAATGTTTTTTTTACATTGTCTCAAATCACAAAAAACATTAATGACCTTTTTCTTTCAGTATATATCTCACAAGTATTTCAGATAGAATCACTTGTGAAGACTGTGTATAAATATTGAAGAATAACGACTTTAACTTAAATGCAAATCTTAATTAGCTGTGTTTATATACTTGAAATGCACAAGCTACTTAGCCAATTTCACACATTATATTGCTCCAGTTTTATTTTAAAACTTAGTGATATGGTCAAAATAATACTTCATTTTAAAGGGTAAAAGGCAAAGAAAAAACATCAAAACCCCCAAACAAAAACTAGAAATCCAAGTTTAACCTGATGTGTAACACAAAAAGTTCCTCAACATACCCTTTTCAGGGCTGTGAATGTTAGTGTAACTTCAAAATATTGTATTTTAAATGTTCCAACATATTACTTACTGAATTAATGCATGAAATCGCTCAAAGCCAAGCTCTTCGACAGCCAAGGCAGCTATACACAAGAGACACTTTTCAGCACTACACATGGCAAAAAAATGACACAAGATACACACAGCAAGCTAGTATACTTTCAAGCTTTAATTATACTCTTAAGTTTTAATCCTCCCTTGACATTTTATGTTTTTAACTGATTAGTATAAACTAATTTACCACAACATTAAGATTCTACTATGCAAATTAGTGAGAACATTTCTATTTGGACTAACCAATTCATTAAAAGAACAAAGCCACTGGAGTGTGCAGACTTGAAAATATTTGTCAAATACTAAGCTCTTGATTCTGTACAAAACATGGCTGTCACTAAGTTGTCAAGCATATGCATACTGTAGATATAATTTTGCAGGTCAGTAGGAAGTATTATTTCCTAGAAAAGCAAGCATGATTAGTTGGATAATTTTATTAATGTAGGTAAGCTGTATTTTTTCTTCAAATACACATCAGTTACTGAAATTTAGGGTTTTCCCCCCCCCCTTTTAATTATTATTTATAACAAATGAGTAGAATTATTCTACCCAATGTCACACATCCTGTCTTCAAATAAATTCTCATTGTTTTCTTTTAATAATAGATAAATAGTGTTTCAGGTAAGTGTCACGTCCCAGACAGAAAAAAATACAGCATTGGTGTCTTCCCAAGTTCAACACAGGCTTTATACCTTTGTTCCCCTTGCAATATTCCCAAATCAAGGGATGAAATGAACTTCTAAAATCAAATTTTCTTTACCAACAGGAAGTTATATTCACCAGTTGTGTAACTAGCCAATTTCCTGGCCATTCAAATATTAAGACTGTAGCAGTCTTTAGTGCCCTGTATATCCATAAGGACTTGATCTTCCTGCTAGTAGAATACTATACAAACCCAACACATCTGCTTTCTAATCTGTCTGAAGTCCACTTAATAGTTCTGGTCTATCTAAAGGCTTAATGCTGAATATTTAACTAAAAAGTCTGATCATTTAGCTACTGAATTTGATTGCATACAATTCATCAGAGAACTGAAGCCATCAGGGCTAATACTACTGATCAATTCTTTCCACAATAATTTCAGAAAGGGCTTTTTATGTCCCTTCTGATTGTATTTTGAAATACATAACTGATTTGCCTATATGCAAACACAACTGATTCTCCAGCAACATATTAATTTTCTACTTCAGAAATAAGGCAGCAGTAGTCTTAAGAGTAACAGTTTTTGTATTTTGAAAACCTACAAGGAATTGCTAAAATTAGGTTTCTGACAGCAGAAGTAGACTTGACTAGAAAACATGTTTTTAAAACTGTTTAAAAAAATATGAAAAAATGAGTCTAAATCGCAGAAAATTATACAGGAACTAACCCCGCTCCGAGAACATATGCTTTTCTAAGCAAAATATTAGAGGGACTCAATCATATAAAGCAATCTGTGAACTTGGGAACTCGCACTACTACAGCCAATGCATGGCCAACAACAGGTCACTGGTATACACCACAAAAGCAGATGAAAAATGCGACTGCATTCAGTAAGTGTGCTCGAATCCACCTTTTGTTCACACAGCAGGATGATAGGCAGTTTCATTCTGTTACTACAGAACAGAGTGAAATGTAAAAGAACCACTATTTGAAACAAAGGGAAAGAAGTAGAAATCCTGAAGAGAAGTGTAGCTATACATAACCCAAACAAGGCTAAAAAAGGACAGTGCTTAGTGGAGAGGAAAAGAATAAACAGCAATAGAACATGAGCTATCTGAGCAATACAAATACACAGAAACTCTGTAAAATGATACTCTGTCATGCTGTCTAATCATACTTCATGGTTTTATTATAAATATATTCCCATATTCTACTCTCAAAAAACAGTAGCCTGCCATGTGGAATTGTAGCTGTAATACTCCCCCACATACGTAACTCATCTATTAAAGCCCTACTGACTATGACAATGCCTGACTTTATTTTTATTGATCACAGCAATCAAGCAGGAAATAAGTTTATTCCTTTGCACTAGCAGTGACAGAACTCTACATATTAACAATATCACATTCTCCACATATTTGCCCTAAGTCTAACAAGGCAAGAAGTCGCTTTGTAGTCAAATATCAGGACATAAAAGAAAAAACCAAAACCCCAACAAAGTATATCTTAAAGTATATCTTAAATCAGGAAGTGTAATGCATTATACATATAAGGTAAAATATCATTTAAACTGTGGCGGACATAAAAGAGGTATATTCAGTGTCTAGCAAGGAACGCAAAACATGAACAATGTAAGAGATTAATGTCACCCATGACAAAAGCAGACTGCTCATGGTACACGTATCCTTGCTCGTCCTAAGCACATTCAACATTATTAAGGACAAGTCAGGCAGAACTTGTGGACTTGCGCAGAAATAGAAAAAGATACAGATATGTAACAGAATGGATTAGTTCATTAATTGTCAGTGTTGAGAGTAACTGTGTTTAAAAAGAATTGCTGCTGAACATTTTCTGCAGTTCCAAGTTCTTTAGAATAAGACAATATAAAACATAACAAAATTTGTTAATCTACTAGAAGGTGATTTGATTAAAGTTGGTTTGGTACTGCACAGAAACAAACACAGGGAAAAAGGCTATTTCTCTGTTACAGGGGATCCAGAATATTTTAGAAGAGATAAAGCTTTGCATAATTTCCTACAAAAGCTCTTCTGAAATAAAGCAACAAGTGACAAGTTAAAATGGTCCTCCAGTGTCAGGAAGCATATGGATTTTTTCCAAATTAAAGACATGTTAAGTCCTGATAAATCACAAAATATAATTGAAAATATGGAAATTTCTCAAATGCAAGAGAAACATATACGTTGGAATTCTAGTGATACACAGCACATTCCTTTTGACAAAAAGGATCAATGCCGCTTTTTACAATAGACAAAAATTCATCTGTTGTTAATGCAATTACAATGGTGACCATCCCATCTCTATAATAGTAAAAAGCAGCAGCCCCTCAAAAACAATGTCATGCTTCACTAAGTGATGGGCAATTTAGTACAGAAATACATCTTACAAGGTTGTTCCTCTTGACGACTAGATTCTGCGGGACTTTCAGAAATACTAGCAGTCTCTTCAGTCGTTTTTCCTCTTATCCACGTTGCCAGAGAGTATGACTCAGAATTATCGGAGCAAGCCATTTCTAAAATATCACATAATGTGTGACAGAGAAGGTTCTTCTGCTCCTCTTCTGAAAGATCAGAAACCTATATGAGTTCAATTGCTGCTATTCAGTATCTTATATAAGCTACCAGTGTATTTTTTATACAGTATGCTATTTAAAGAATTGAGTTTATTACTTTTATCTTATTAATGTTAATTGCTGTTGTTGACTTTAGTGGACCACAGAATTATAAAGCTGTCTTTAGAAAAATGTGTCTCAATACAGGTTCTTATCCACTCCTTTTCCCAATAATAGATTTTAATCAAAAATTTATAAAACACAGAAGTACTATGGACTGGCACAGACCTCACAAATGTGTTTAGAGACACATAATATTCATACTATATGCCTCATAAAATGGCATGGAAGCACAGTTAAACAAAAAGTGTAAAATATTCCGAATTCTTTGTATTAGGATATGGCTTACAAATAATTAAAATGAGAAAAAAAAAACCAAAGAGGAAAAAAGAAGTCTCAGTACCTGGACAGTCTCTCCAAGTAGACTTTTCGCTGGTAAAAAGCCTCTTCAAAAGGAAGGCCTTTGTTATCAAAGCATAAAATAACATTAAAATACAACACAACACAACTTTTTACATTATGTCAAACACTCTACATCAAACCATTTGTGCACATTATTAGAAGGGCTTCAAGCTGCTCATCATCCAGTAAGAGAGCCTGAGCCTGCACTGTTTACTGATTTTTCCCATTCAAATTAACTACAAAGCTGGCCTCATACCTATGTTCAATACAGAGTCTGAACCTCAAGTATGCTTCAAATACACAGAGTGCCTATTTAGAGAAACATCTCCAGACTCACAGGACTGCAGTAACAGGAGCACAAGTATTTTGCAATATAACTGATGAGAAGTACAAGACAACTCCATTCAGACAAGCCCCTTTAGTAGTTAAAAAGCCCACCTCTTTTAGTCACTGCAAGTCATAATTCATAGATCAGATTAAAGAAAACCCATGTATCTCTATATCCCGGCTTTGCTCTCCATCAACACTAATATTACAATCGGGGGGGGAAGATATGGTCTAAATTACAGAGAAGGAACAATGAAAGAACAAACTTTGGGAAGCAGACTCTTTGTCTTTCTAATTATTAGATGCTGTTTCAGGTATTTGCAGCACCTTAAAAATAGCTGCTTCAAGTTTCACTTCTTCCCTGACAGACTCGCCCTGTCGTCCCATGACAGATCTTTCTCACACCTTTTTTAGTAGTTTTCAGCAGTGTTACACACGGCAAGAGTCATTTGAACCTTTCTTCCTTCCCTAGCTGGAACTCAGCTCACTTTTAAAGATGCTTTAATTACTTAATTTCATGGAAGTTGAAGTACATAGAAATCTGGAAGAACACTCCATATAACAACATTTGATATGGTAAAGGCTCAGCACTGCCAGGTGGTCCTATTCTTTACTCTCTCCACTCCCCTGCAAAGAGGACACTTGTAATTCTAAAATCAGAGACCAGACACCCTACATCCAGTTTTAAGACCACAAAACTAGACAGAGCCACGTTACAGAGCGCAATTCACAACAAAGTGAGTGTTCACAGTCTACACCTGCTCCTTCCTCCGGTACAAGTCTTTTGGTGGGACCAGCTTTTAGAGTATCCTGAAGTAACAATAATAGAGGTTTTGATGACTATCACATTGCACACACCAGAGATGCAAACTATGCCATGATACCAGCTGTCTGACCCAGATACCTTCGTGTTTATGATGAGATTAACTTTGCTGCATGATTTTGACATATCCCCTATCAGCCAGGAAGGCCTCAACTCAGACCTACACACGTGCAGTAATTTGATCTGCACGTAAAAGAGTCAAGAGCAGGTTACCAGAAAAAGTAATCTAGCCCATGACTGAATGACTGCCTGTCTCTACAGGGCGCTCCTACAAGAATGAAGAGCAGCCACAGATTAGACAAACTGCTCTACCGAAACAGATCCAGGTCATGTATTTATACAGCAGTCAGAATTCCCTCAGAAACAGCATTTGAACAAGTATGCACATAGCCTGCAAGACACAATGGAGTAAGAAAAAAAATTAAAATCACAATTGGTTGAGCTTACGTGAAGCACGTGAAATCCTAAGCACGTATCCAGAATAAAATATAGTCCCCTGACATGCTTCAATTATTCTGCTAATTCAGAATCTTCTTATTTAGCTAACCTTGTTAGGTTTGAAAATCAACTACTTCAAATATCTCCAGTACAGTTTGCTAAAACAGCCATTGTGACACACATATTACTCTTCTTAAGGAGAGGGAATTTGAGATAAGAAAGGATTAGGATCATATTTATATCTGACCTTTTACTTCTCCCCTTTATCCTGCACTCCTTACTTTAAAGTTCCCTCAGTCTTCCCCAATTGGCATTTCCTCAAACAAATTCATTCCTATGAAATTATAGTTCAAAACCAGCCCATCTCGGCCTTTCTACTGAGTTTTGTGTCTCATCCTCACTACATTTATGAAGTCAAAATGCAACTGATCTGCAATTTTTAAAATATTATTTTAGTTCCACATACATTAAAAAAAGAACAAATTTCAGGTTTACTAATTTTAAGCCATTCCTATAGTAAATGCATCTTACCTGTACAGGTGCGATCACTGCGCAAGGGCCACCTTCAAATTGTTCTAATGCAGTTGATTCAGATTCACTAAAGACAAATCCTGCCAAATAAAAGAAGACCATATTTAGTGAAATATATAAACAAGCACATGTTTATCCACACCTTTAAAGATTAGCTGAGTTTTCAAAAGTTTTTTTCCCCGAAAATGCAACAGAAAGTGGTTAAACTATCTGAAAAAAAATCATTAATACAGATGAGTGCACAGAATTTTCATCTCAGGAGCTAAGTCATTATCACAAAGGGCCAACAGCTGAGGTTTTAAACAAAAGGATTTTTAACAGTAAAACTGTCACTAGAGCATATGTGACTGGATACTTAAACTACAGTTTTTACTGTACTATAGATTATTTATTATAAATCAATTAAAATTTGTAAGTGTTAATATTTTGTCTCATATGTAAAATAAATAAAAATCAGCTTTGGACCTTCACTCAACATGGCTAATACATTTCTACTCCCTATGAAGGGCACAGTATGCCTTCTACTGATTTCATTTTTGGCCTATCAATGGTTCCTGTTAAGACCGAAATATGCTGGCTAACTCAAATATTCCTTGTGTATTCACTGAAGTAAGCCTCTTAATGGTGTTTTTTCACAGAACATATATTATATTTACTGAGATGCAAGATCACCTATTTTCCCTCTTCATCTTCAATGTGTTCATATTTCAGAACAACCTCAGTCATATAATTGAGCAAATGTTGGAGCAATTGTTTGTTGCCACCTTGCCCTTAAACTTGGCTTCAAGATACAGTGATTCATAGCTCACATTTCTCACAGACATATGCACATACAAGGACAATTACCTTGATGAAGCTGACACACAGCAACTTACAGTGAGTGATATTTTGCATTATTATTTTGAGTGCCGATAAAATTGTGCCCAAGTGACTCTAGCTCAACGTAATCTAGAAACCATGCAACTGTAGTCAGCAACTCAGTCAGCAAGCACAAGCAAGTGGGGGCAGGGAGAAAGGGGGCAGATACCCATGCGTATTTTTGCAGCAGCGTCAGCCTCCACAGAAAGAACATTCAATGCTTCTTTCCCATAATTTCTCCTTTCCTCAGTTGTGCATCAATACATGCTGCCATATGAGAAGCATCCCTCACCCCTGGATGTGAATTTGAACTGGGGAAACGCATCCCCCTAGTGCAGACTTCCACACCACTGTGTGACAGGCCCATCAGGCCAAGCAGCAGAAAGGACTGCTGCATGTTCTGCAGCTGTATTTTGTCACAGAAATTACAGTTGTCCAACAATTATTTTTTTTTAAAGATGGATCAGTGTAGCTATATTTCTTTTTAAAAACAGAGTTTCCCCTGTATCTGACAAAACGCTCTGGTTTCTTCTTTAACTGAATGTGCAAACATGCATTACGAAGATGTATTTTATATCCAAAACCCAGATGCATATCGAGCCTACATACATAGATTTGGCATCACCTAATGCAGCAGCAAAGCTCCATTAATCCATACTTCAACTACAGTTTGCACTAGTGTCATTTCACTCCCCTGTTAACATGCCCTAATAGGAAATACCACCAATTCTTTAAGCTTTCTGAATTAGTTCATGCAGGCTTATCATATTAAAAGGTAAGTCTTCCTCTACTTTGAAGCATTACTGCATACCATCTAAGCACACTGCAACAACTGGGTTTTTTTAGTTGTTTAATGATTTAGCCACTACAGAAAAACATACTTGGATGTGGTACCATTAAACCATACGTAAGAAATCTTGAATTTGTTTCACAGTCTTCAGGCTTCTTACAGACAGCATGAACTGTCTCAGCTTAACCCTGCCCTATTTTTCAAAACTGCTTCCTAAAAATAAAGAAAATCAAGTGTGATCCACCAGAGTGAAGACAAATTTGAGACAGACAATGCAAAATCGGTATCACACGAAATTTGACAGAATACAACTGCAGGAAAAAAAATACAAAACATGTACAGAGACATTTGTTTCCTTTATACTTAATGCTGCTGAATGCTTCATAAATATCAGTGTTCTAAAAGCTATTAAGCTTTAAGCTATTAAGCAATAAAATAGACCAGTGATTTTGGTCTTACTCTCTTCTTTAAAACTTCTACAAAATTTGAAGTCAGCTCAAGTCAAAATTCAGAAACCAGCAGTCCTCAGCCTGCAATTGTATCTACTTACCTATTTGCTCTCCACAACAATCACATCTTGGGCAATTTCTATAAACAGCCATCAAGTCCATGTTCTTTCATACAATTTGCAGGAATGGCCTGGCCATTTAAGCTACCAACTAAGACTAGCATCTCTGATCCTGACTAATTTCTACTTATTCTCGTTCTTAATCAGTCATATCTATCATGCAGCTCTTTTCACTTGAGATAGAATTTCAAGAGCAAAATAGATGTAATGGAACCAAAATAACTTTTTTTTTTTTATTAATCCGCCGGTATTTCAAAAGTGAGTATAATGTTCAACATTTATGTATAAGAAACCTGAAACAGTATTATTCATCTTCCTTGTCATGGCTCCACAGACCCCATTTTTTCAACATTGCTACTGCTCTACTGCGTTAACCTTTCTGGTGGGGGAGGCAGAGTAGGGGCAAGTAGATTTCTGTTAGCAGTCAAGTGTACTGCCCAAGATTTTGAATTACGGTGACTATGAGATTCCCAAATTTGCCTTTATATCCTTTGTCCACTATTACTCACACAAAGTTTTATTCTCATCATTTCCCCCAATACATAACGTTCACCAAGGACCACGATTCTTTTCTTACATGTAACTATTAGCTCCGCTAAAATGAACATATGACTCAGTTATTTCCTCTTCTCTTTCATCTCCACATCATGGTCCAAAGCACTATAGCTGGGCATAGAACGATGGATACACTTTTTGTATCTGGCTTTGGGCTTTCAAAGCATATTTTTATAGTAAGATTAAACTTTTTAAATTTTCAGAGGGGAAAAAAACCACTAAACAAAAACCCAGCTTGTTCCACACACACACAAAGAAAGGTGCATTTATGACAGCACTACTACAATGAAACTCCACTTAATGGGTTGTGGATAAAGAGCCAGGAAGCCCTCCAAGAGCTTGAGTAAAGTATCCAAATTACTTCGTAGAGTGCCACTAAATTGGGAAATACGCTTCCAGAAACCACGATAAGACTCCAATGTGTCTGCTTTTTTTCTCACCTTTGTAAAACCAAGCAAGTGAACAAACAAAAAGAACCCACAAAAAAATCCAGCTCTGTGAAACTTCTGAATTTTGATGGAAACTTCTGAATCTGTACCCTGGTAAGAGCCTTCTGTGTGAGCGCTACTCAAGACCTTTATTTTCTTTAAACCTGTCAGCCTTATCCAGAGTAAAGAATGGACTCACTAGCACCATATCCTTTCTTAAGTAAAGGACAGTTATCTTTTCAGGCATTCCTTTACGTGCCCAGGCAGCAGCAAAGAGTTTTAGGGTTCACTAATTATTTAGACAATTGTGTTACAGGGCATTTCAAACTCATAGTGCTCTACGTGTATTCCAAACACATCAGCCACCATACTCATTAGCCAGAAAATATAATCTTCTTAAAAACTTAACTTACGTGTTCACACACCATTTTTTCACAATGACTGTTATCATCTCTTTCCAGTTTAACAGTGCTGAAAGGGCAGTTATTTACACGACACAGATGGTCCCTCGAAAAACCGAATTTCTGCTCCAAAGTCTAACTCTTCATTCAGCAGGCTTCACAAGAGGGTTTGTATTCTTCAGAATGAATTAATTACTTTAAGACAATTTTGCATTACAGAAGTACATGAAATAAACGTTGTAAATTTAATCTACAATAGGAAAGGATTTGACAGTCTGTCTAGAACAGTAAGATGTGGTTATTTTGTCTGTACAGACAGTATCGCTGCCTCAAAACCAATATGCTACTCGAAGAGACAAAAGAAGAAAAGTCTACCAGTATAAAATTGAGAACAGAAATTCTTGCCGCGAAGGCTTTTAAGTAGCTTTTCTCAGCAGCACGTCCCTGCTGTTTTTCCAAAAACTGCTGTTACCTCACATTTAATACTAGTATGGCTTGTGTTATAAGAAAGGCCACTTCCTACTGGCAGAATTAGCAATATCTACTTGAACTGAAGCAACATCTTCTACTTAGACAGAAGTTCTAAACTGGCAGTCATCAGCACTTCTTTGTTTGAAGACCTCAATAACTTTTTCACAGGATATGCAAATTCCTGGCAGTAGGTTTAGCTTCTAACTTCTTACCTCATTTTTACAAATGCCTTAAAAGCATTCCACTTGAAGACCACTCACCAAGGCTTACCTCGCTAAGTGTAACTGGCATCAGTAAAACAGAAAGTTCAAAAGCAGTTTCCGTAAGAGATTTGAAGAGGCAATACTTGGAGTAGACGAGAAGCAACAAGTAGGCAGAGGTGGGCCGGTAAGCATAACCACCTCCTCCAGCTGTTTGCCCAACACACATATGTATATACCCTAACTGAATATTAAATGAAAAATGCCTTTCTTCCCAATTAACTGTTTGCACCAAGTAACATGGAACTCGGAGACAGAAAGCAAATGCAAATATTCTATACATCATAGTCATCAAAACGTAAAAAAAAAATTAATAAATTACAGAAATTCCAATGACTATTTGTCTCTCATCACTCAAATTAACTAACATTATTAAATTAAACTCAGAGGGACACTTTTTAAATTGCTGCTTCTATTTAAGACTCTAAAGAGTGGCAAGGGTATTCCTTTTGCTCACAATATATCTGCCTGCCTGAAAATACTATTCCTAAGTACTCTGTCACAGTGTAACAATATTAGAGCTCTGATGACTTAAAACCAGTACTATACGATCTCGCTCCCAAAACAAGGCTGTTTAAACGTTCTAGATCAGAAGCAAGAGTTCCAGACATGTCAGAAAAAGAAAACCTGGAAAGAATAGGGGAGAAAGAAAAGGAAAGTCATCAATCTACTCATGCAGCTCTCAACCTGGAGTAGGACGCAGAAAAGAATGGACCTTTTTACACAGTATATGTATATAAGAATTGTAGTATCAATACCTTTACACTGTGTTTCTGAAGTTAAACAGCTGTTTTGAAAAGACTATGTCGTATCTTTCTTTCCAAAGAGCAGCAAGAATATAGCTTAGGTAATTCTGAATGGATGCTCCGCTCAAACCTGTCAGACACCCACAGCTGTGTAAACTTGATGCCACGTGCCCTAAAGCTGATCTGAAGTGCAGCTTGTGAATGGAATTTGGCTCTTGGATCAATGAATAAAATCACTCCTAACATGGATATGTTTCTTTAGAGTTCAGCTCTGCTCCTAACTCCTTCCCAAATCATCGTATCTATGCCAAGAAACACCAAAGTGCAGACCGAGTGTTTGCACTACATTCCCGTGTCCACTCTGAGGATTCTGGCAAACGAGATCGACGGGGTTCAAACTGCAAGTTCTGCTGCAATCATAAAAAAAAGATACTATAAAAAAACCAACATGAAACTCCAAACAACTGCAACAATGGCTTTGCAGCCATGCCTTTGTTAAATCAGGAATCAAAACAACATATTTAAACTTGCCAGTGCAGCAAACTGAGGGAATTACCATTACTAACTTCAAACAGCATATCCACATTAGCTAGGTCAGTTCTGTTAACTGCCCACGGATCGGCCTGTCTTCAGTTTTGACCAAATGAAGGCGATGGCTCAGGAGTTCACTACATGACACCGATTCTATCTTTACTGAGAAACTGACTGGCTCAAGCCTTACATTCCTCAACATCCTTGCTACTCTTTACTTTTCTTTCCAAATGTAAATTATAGCTCTCACCTTCCAATGGGTTTGAGAAAGGATCAGACAACACTCAAAGTATCTGAAATACATGCCAGTGCTGCCACTACACTCTAAGAAAACCCCAAAACACACACAGAAAAAGCCCAAGACCAAACTAGCTCTTTGATACTTTCTGCACACGTGATGTGTAACAAGGGTTTATCTTACAAAATTCAAAGTCTTTGGAAATAACAAGGTTTGATTTTTATGGCTTTTTTTTTTTGTTCATTTGTTCGTTTTTTTAATCTTGATGAGTCAGTGTTGACAAGCCTCCTCTGCAGTAGGTAAATGGTGCAGAACTTTTTCAACAGAATAGAAACTGAAAGTTGGCTAAATGTATTACTCTACTACACAACACGAGGGACTGAGTGGCTTTTTTGATTCCCAGAACAAGACTCCCAGACAACACACTAACTTACTGCCATATGTTTTTACTGAAAAAAAAAAAAGATTATATTAAAACGGATATAGAAAAGGGAACAGATATACTACGCAGTATGGTTTCAGGACTTTCCCTAATGAGAGATAGGAAATAATAGCTCCTTTCCAGAAGCCATCAAGAAGAGGAGAGGCCTTTTCCATTCATCTTTCACAGGATAATAAGTGTGCAACATCACAATACACATTTCAACCAATTTTGAAACTGCTAAAATTTCACTCAAACAATCTTGAAAATGTCAATTTCAGTCATCTAACATTACCAGTTAAAGAAATAACTAAGCTTTTCAACACCAATTCTTTCTCCTGACTTTGCAAAAACCTTGCACTGAAACAGTAAACAGAAAATTGAAGTAGTATTTCTGAAAAAAATAATTTTCTAGGAAAAGTAATAGCTTTACTAGGTCTGCTTATATTTCAGAACTTAAAAGGAATTTGGCATTTTTTCCCAAAATA